AGTAAATGGCACTATCCACTTAGAATTCCAAAAATACCTGTTTAGAAATCCCCATAGTGATTTTTCTCTGCTATAAAATTTGGGGGCTCGGTACTGAGCGTTATGTCATTCCCTTATTGAAGATACACAATACATTTGTGTATTTGGCCATAGACTGAGTACCACCCTTGTCTAGCATGTTTATTTGGATGATCTCTAAAATGAAGAGATAGTATGGATTTATGTAAAATATGAAAAGGCATCTGGCATAGCACCTGGCAAACATATATGTTTAATCAATTACTGTTCCCTACCCTTCAAAAATTTGACTAATGAAATATTAACATTATGAGATGAGTGACTGACTCAGTGATCCCCCAAGGAGAAAGAATAAATGTGGGTCCTATTTCATTCTAAGTATGTACTTTGAATTTCTAATTTCAAGATAGTAGACTAAACACATACTATGTCTAGAAAATTCAGATAAGGAATTCTCCCAGGATGCAGCATTATAGAATTAGATCATATGAAAGAAAAATTAAGAGAAAAAGGATAAACCTAGAAGTTCCAAAATTTACTATGAAGGAGTTCAAGGAGGAGAGAATAGGACAACAGGCAATATTTGCAAAATTAATGACTGAGAACTTCTATTTATTGAAAGAAAACATGAGCCCCTATGAAATGGTGTATGAATTACCAAATAAGAGTAAGATAATAATAATACACAAATACATGATGACATATTGTAGGGACATTTTAGAATTTAAGGATAAAATGAAGCTCTTAAAAACTCTCTGGGGGAAAAGGCAGGCCACCTACAAAGCAATGAGAGTCAGAGGAAGATAGTGGAGCATTTTCAAAGTGATAAAGGAAAATAACTATGAATTTGGGATTCTGTATTACATCAAACTGTTATTGTAGTGTGAAGATAAGCTACTTTGAAAGTTTACCACCTCCAGAACTTCTCTAAAGTAGTTACTGGAGGGTTTAGTCTAAGAAGGAAATGAATTCAGGATGAACTTGGGGGTGGGAATGGGTAAGATACAAGAACCAATGGTTAAGAAAGATATTTTGTGGAACTAAAATTATATACATTATTACCATAGGATGTAGTGATACAGAGAGAAGAGGGGGAAGTCAATCATAGGTTTTTTTGTCTTATTAGAGAGAATACTAATATTATTAACTCTAAGTTTTTAGAAAAATGTAAGTTTAAATACATAGGTCAAAATTTTAGTAGTAACCACTAGAGAAGAATATAAATAAAATGCATGACTTACACATCCTTTGAGAAAAGAAAATGACCAAAAATCTGGATCTACATAATACAAGTTAGAATTGGGACAAAACAGACACAGACAAACTTTGGTAAATAGAAAATAAAATATAAGATGACAAGAAGTCAAAAATAAATCAGTAATTCCAATAAATGTGAAATGACTAAGCACTGATTAAAAGACAAAAACTAAAATAAAATTGAAATAAAAAATATATACTGTGCATAATAGGCCTATTTAAAGTAAAAGGACATAATTTTTTTTTAAATAAAGCAGTTGAAAGATATTAGGCAAGCGCTATCTGAAAGAAAGCTGGTTTAACAATTCTAATATAGTATGAAATAGGATTCAATTCAAGAAGTACATTAAAAAGATATTTCATATGGACATTTCATAGATATAGACAAATTATACCACAATGATGTAAAAGTCATGAAACTTTATACATCTGAAAATACAGCTTTGAATATATAAAGTAAAAACTGATAAACTACAAGTGATAAATTGGTAAATCCCTAACATATTAAGGAGGTAAAAAATGAATCAGGATATAAATGATTTGAGCAACACAATCAAGCTGCATATGTGGGAGAAAGAAAAGCTGTGTGCGGCAGAGAATATACATTCTTTTCAAACTTACGTGAAACATTTACAAAAATCGGCTCTACTAGATCAGAAAAAAATCTTTCTTTTCTTTTAAGATTTATCTATTTATTGTTGAGAGAGAGAGGAGGTGCACGCGCATGCACACACACACACACACACACACAGGGGCGCAAGTAGGGGGAGGGGCAGAAGGAGAGAATCTTAGAGCAGACTGGAGCAGACTCGCCACTGAGTAGGAGCCCGGTGTGTGGCTGGATCCCACCACCCATGAGATCACAACCTGAGCTGAAACCAAGAGTTGGACACTTAACTGAACTGACTGAGCCACCCAGGCGCCCCCAGAAAAATTCTTTTAAAATTCTATGCAGGCTATGCTCTGTGACCACAGTGAAATGAAGTTAGAAATTAACAACAGAAAGCACCAAATACCTTTACATTTGTATATTAAAATGCACATATGTAAATAACTTTGGAGGTAAGGAAGAAACAAATGGAAATGACTAAATGCTAAACAACCTTATATCAAAACTTATTAAACATAGCCAAAGTGGTACCCTTAATTGTATTACAAAATTAAAAATACTAAAAGTAAATGAGTTAATTTGAAAAAATAAGAACTGAAATAAGCATAAACAAAATAGAAGGAACAAGTTGATAAAGCTAAAAATAAGAATAAAATATGATCAAGAGAAAAGCAAGAGAAGTCACAAATAATATCAATAAAGAAAATATTATTACCATAAATACAATTATAAATTACAAGAAAACTATAAAACTCTATCAATGTATTGGAAATTCTAAATGAAATACGCATTCCTCATGAAACAAAAAACACAATTACTAAAATTTTCCTGAGAAAGTAAAAAAACCTAAGTAGATTAATTACCATGGAAGATTTGGTAATGTTAAGGATTTCCATGAAAAAACATTGTATGGGTGGTTATATAGTTTTGTGGATGAATTCTACTAAGTTGTTGGGTGAATAATTCTGATATCCTACAAACTTTTAGAGCATTTTTTTTTAAAAAGGACATTTAATTTATTTTATTTTTTTAAAAATTTTATTTATTTATTTGACAGAGAGAGAGAGATAGCGAGAGCAGGAACACAAGCAGGGGGAGTGGGAGAGGGAGAAGCAGGCTTCCCGCCGAGCAGGGAACCCGATGCGGGGCTTGATTCTAGGACCCTGGGATCATGACCGGAGCTGAACACAGACGCTTAATGACTGAGCCACCCAGGCGCCCCAGGACATTTAATTTAATAACATTGATACCAAACCATCAAGGAGATAGCACTAGAAATAATTATAATTCAATCTCATTTATGAGTGTAGAAACAACAATCCTAGATAAAACATCAGCAAATCAATTCAGAAATATATTAAATAATATGATGATGTGACCAACTAAATTTTACCTTAAGATTGCAAGGATGGTTCAACATTACTGTAATTGACTACTACACTGACAGATTAAAAGAGATTAGGCCGATGTTTGCAAAGAAAACAGTCAATAAAATTCAATACCCATTCAATTTTTAAAAGGTAAAAAAGTTATCAAACTAAGTTTAAAAGGGAACTTGATGAAGCTCTCTGCTTCATATAGCAAGTGCAGGATTGTACAGAAAATGCCATACTTTTGTGGTAAAACATCAGAACATTCTCATTCAAATAAAAAATAAGATACACATACTCAGAGTTGCCTATACTGTTTGTCCTTACACTGGAGAGACCAGCCAGTACACTAGGTCTGGAAGAAAAACGAGGTGTAAGGATGGAACAAAACCCCAAATTTTAGTTATTCACAAACTCTATCATAATCTACCTAGAAAGCCTAAAAGAATCAAATGACAAATTACCAGAACTTAGAATGTTTGCAAGGCGGCCAGATATGATAGTTGCATACTTAAATATTATTTGCCTTTCTCTTCACCAGCAGTAAAAAAATTAAACATATAAGAAAAAAAATCCAGTTAACAATAGTAATAGCAATAAAATTCACAGGAGTAAATTAACCCATGAGTAAACCAGACCAAAGATGTGTAAGACCTTTTTTCAGAATTCTGTAAGAGATCATTAAATAATATAAAATTAATAAATAAAGGGAGAGATACACTTAATTTTTCATATGAGAACTCAATATTATAAACAGGTGATTCTACCAAAATTTAATCTTTAAATTCAAATTAATCTCATTCAAAATTCTAGTATTTTTTTAAAATGAAACTGACAGACTGATTCTAAAATGCATTTAGAAGATAAATTTGTAAATCTAGTAAGGATGGTTTTTATTTATTTATTTTTTCAACAAACATCTTTCATGAAGATAGAAGCATTTTCTTTTCTTTTTTTATTTAAATTCAATTAGCCCACTTATAGTACATCATCATAAAGATGTGTTTTTTTTTTTTTAAGATTTTATTTATTTATTTGACAGAGAGAGAGACAGCAAGAGAGGGAACACAAGCAGGGGGAGTAGGAGAGGGAGAAGCAGGCTTGAGCCCAATGCGGGGCTCGATGCAGGGCTCGATGTGGGGCTCGATCCCAGGACTCCAGGATCATGACCTGAGCCGAAGGCAGTTGCTTAACGACTGAGCCACCCAGGCGCCCCTATAAAGATGGTTTTTAAAAAGAACAAAATGGGTATATTTTCCTTAGCAGTTTTGAAAACATTATTCAAATCATTTATAATTATAGTGATTATTTTTATTATTATAAAAGGATGTGTTCATGATAGAAAAATAGTGCGGAAGAATGTCCAGAAATAGAGCCATGTTTGCATGAAAACTTTAGATGCCTCTTTTTCTCTTGCTAATGGCTTTCTAGTATTTCTTAGATTAAAAGATCATTGCATCAAAAAAAAAAAAAAAAGATCAAAGCATCAAAGAAGAGCAGGTAGAGGGTTATCAGTACATTTCCAAAAGTAGTAAAGCTACCTTAAATTATTCTTTCTTACAAACTGGTACTTACATTATTTAAAACTTTTCATGCTTTTCCAGATGTCTATTCTCATAGAAAAAATAAGAACATAACTGGCATTATACATTAAAGGAAGATCTTATCATTATTTCTCATTGAGAACTAAAGTAATATCTCTAAAATAAGATCATTTTGATCACTTTAATTTTTTTTTATTTTAGGGACTTCAGTTACCGGTCCTCCTGGCCCCCCTGGCTTTCCTGGAGAAAGGGGCCAGAAAGGTGATGAAGGTCCACCTGGAATTTCTATTCCTGGATCTCCTGGACTTGATGGACAGCCTGGGGCTCCTGGACTTCCAGGGCCTCCTGGCCCTCCTGGCCCTCACATCCCTCCTAGTAAGCTATACTTTTCTCCTTAAATTCTGTGGGTTTGGTTTTGTTTTCATTTGTAAGTGAATCCAGCTGAAGGTTGGCATTATTGTACTGCTTCTTCTACTTTTGATTTTTGGTGATTCTTTGATGTTTAAATTTTCCCTTCAAATTAACACCATTATTATATCTTCCTTTTGCTTATAGGTAGTTGTATTACTGCAGAGAAGTAACTGAAGATAGATCTTATTTTTCTAGCCTGTCAAGCTTTCTTTTTGTTTAGTCTTCTGGATATTTCACAATTAGTTTGCTATCCTTTATCTTGTCTCAGGTGATGAGATATGTGAAGCAGGCCCTCCAGGCCCTCCGGGATCTCCAGGTGATAGGGGACTCCAAGGAGAACAAGGAGTGAAAGGTTTGACCCCCATAGTCGTTCCTTCATTCTTTCAGATCTTCAGCCAAATGCCCTATATCCTCCACTCTACCTCAGTCACTCACTGTCATGGTCTTCCTCCCAAGACCATCTCATTACAAGTAATGCATACTTCCATAATCTTGATTTTATGAGTCCCATTTTCTGACCACTGTATCCTTTCTAGCTCACTACCTCTGATAACCTGACTCCAATATTACTTCAACCTCACCGATACCTTTGACTGTCCCTCAACCTTTTGATGTCCTTTCTTCCCTCTTAACCTATAAATGTCAGGATCAATCATTGTAAACAATCTCGTGTATAAACCCTTGCCTCCTTCGCTCTCCTCTCACTTCATTGTACTCACTTGGAACAAAAGCCTAGTTTTGGTAATTCCGAATTATCACATCTTCTGAGCCTACACCTTCTCTTTCCTCCTCAAATTTTTAACACCTCCCCTTCCATTCTCATGTTAAGATTTGGACCTTCTTCCTCTTCTACTGAGCAACTGAAGTAATAAGAGAATTTTCACAGATTACCACTACCACATTTACCCACCTACTTGCATCTGTGCACATATACTCTGCCTTCCTGCCTATTACTATCACTGCTCCTATCTAAAGCCAATTCTTCTATTTGAACAATGGATTCCATTCCCTCTTATGTTCCCAGGGATTTCATTCCAGAAATTCCTGCCTCTCCCACATTGTCAATTTTTCCGTTTTACTGGATCACTCCTGGCAGCATACAAATATACCTTTTTTCACCCATCTAAAAAATACCTTATCATAATCCCACTTTCCCTGCCAGATCCTGCTTTATTCCTCTGTTCCCATTGCTGCAAAACCCCAGAATTTTCTACTCACTATCTGTGGATACTCTTCACTCCAATCAAAATTTTACTGCCTGATCCACCACTCCACAGGTGCTGTTTTTGTCCAAGTCACCAGCAGCCTATACCCTGCTAATCCAAATATCAAGTCTCAGTTCTTTTTTTTTTACTCTATTTTTCCATCTTTAAACACTTTCCTCACTTGTCCTGATTTTCTTCATACCTCCTTGGACTATTATATATATATTAGATATAGAGGTAGTGATAGAGGTAGATATGTCTATATATATCTCTTTCTGTATATTTGTCTCTCTATATATCTCATTCTCTCTCTCTCTCTCTCTCTCTCTCATATATCTCATTCCCTCTCAATGTATCTATATAATCTCCCATGTAACTACCATCTAAATCAAAATATAGAACTTTTCCAGGACTCTGGAAGACTCTTGTGCCCCCTAGTCAGCACTCCCAAAGGTAACCACTATTTTATCCTCTATCATATATTAATTTGCCTAATCTTGAACTTTGTATAAATGGAATCATACAGTATGGGCTCTTTTATGTCTGATTCTTTGGCTCAATATTATGTCTGTAGGATATACCTATATTTTTGTTTGTAGCAATATTTTTCACTGTTCTTTGGTATTCATTGTATCAATATACCTAAATACTCTAATGTTAATGGACATTTGGTCTAGGGCTATTATAAGTAAAGGTGCTATGAACATTCTTATACATATATTTTGTAGGACATAAATTTCTGTTGTGTGTATACCTGTGAATGGAATTGCTGGGTTATAGGGGTAGGTGCAGGTTTTGTTTCCATAGATACCACCAAACCATTTTCCAAAGCGGTTTTAGTCTCCAATTACCTGATGAGTTACTGATGCTGAGCCTCTTTTCTTATAGTTCATGTATTCTCTTTGTAAAGTGCTTTTTTCCTATTTTTAACTGGAAATTAAAGAAATCCAATCTTTAATGTCCTCTTTTATGGTTAGTGTTATGTTCTATTTTAGAAATCGTTGCTTATCCCAAGAACCTGATGATATTTCTGTGTGTTTTCTTCTAGAAGCTTTATTATTTTGACTTTTATATTTTGATCTTTCATCTGTCTTCAAGTAATTTTTGTGTATAGTTTGAAGTGGGCATCAAAGTTTTTTTCCCCATATGGATATCCAATTGACTCAATATTGTAGTACAAAAGACTGTCATTTCTCCAATGAGTTGCATTAGCACTTTCCTTGTAAATCTTATGACACTATATGTATTAGTCTGTTTCCGACCTCTCTATTTTGTTCATTGTTCTATTTGTTTCTCTTTCCACCAATGCTAGACAATCTAAATTATTGTAGCCTTATAGTAAGTCTTGGCTTAATTTGCATTTCCATATGTATTTTAAATTTATCTACCCAACGTTTAATTTTGGAATGCCCCGAGTATTTTAGTCCTTGTTCCTTTTCTGTATTTGAACTCAATTCAGTCAGTCTCATGACTTTAAATACCACCTATTTGCCAGTGACTTTCAATTTCAAATTTAAGTCTTTTCCTCTAGATTGTATATCCAACTGTCTACTGGACATTTTGAACTTGACATCTGGATCAAGTTAAAGTCCTGATCTCTGCTACCTCCTCCCCCATAATTTTACCACTTATGTCTTCCCTTTTTTAAATGCAGGCCACCCTAGCTTTTTGGTTGCTTGGGCTGAAAACCTTGGAGTCATCTTTGATTCTCTTCTTCTTTTGTATTCCATGTATGATCCATGAGAAAATCCCATGAGCTCTACTTTCAAATATACCCAGAATCTAACCAACTCTCCTCATCTTCATTGCTGTAACTCTGGGATGAGCTGTCATCTCTCCTAGATTACTACAGCAATAGCCACTTAAATGATTATGCTATTTCTATCATTGCACATCCATTCTGTCCTCAATATAGCAGCCAGAGACATCCGTTTCAAACTTAAGTCATATCATCTTGCTTTTCTGTTTACATGTTTTTTACTGGATTCTCATTTCACTCATAGTAAAAGCCAGGCTTTATGGTAGCCTATGTGACGTTTTATGATATGCCACTCATTATAACCTGTGAACTGTCTGATCTGCCTCCCCTTCCTCTCTCTACTCCAGCAATCTGGTCTCCTTGATGTTTCTTGAATAGGCCAAACATGGCTAGTCTTTCTTCCTAGAGTACCTCTCCATTTATTAGGCACATGCCACATTCTTTAAGATTTTATCATATCTCATCATCTCATTTGACCACCCTATTAAAATTGTAAACTGCCACCCATCCCTAGCATGTCTAATCGCATTTACCCAGGTGTATTTTTTCTATAAACATAACACCTTTTGATATATATATATATACACACACACACACACACACACACACACACATATATATATATATAAAATATATATATAAATACTTGGCTACCTTCATTGTTTATTATCCCTTTCCACTGATAGAATGGGAACACCATGAAGGCATGGATTTTTGCCTGTTTTATTTGTTTTGCCTGTTTTGTTTTGTCTGTTTTGTTTACCACTATATCATAGATACCTGGAACCAGTACTTGGCAAATAATGAGCACTTGGCAAATATTTATCAAATGAGCTGATTCTAATATAGGCGTCTCTAAACTATACTGTTGGGTAGGAATGTTGTCCCTTGGTGCTAACTTCTTTAGAACTTATCTAAAGGACATAGACATACCCCTTTGAGTAAAATTTGTTTCTCAATATGCTTTTCTCTAGGTGACAAAGGTGACACCTGCTTCAACTGTATTGGAACTGGTGTTTCAGGGCCTCCAGGTCAGCCTGGTCTGCCAGGTCTTCCAGGTCCTCCAGGTAAAACATTCTGCCTCAGGCAACCTTGTAACAATATTTCTTGGCTAGATTTTAGTGAGCTCAGTTTTATAATGATGCCAGTTTCTCATTTTATAGCAAGTCTCTCATATCCATAAATAATTAAATATGAAATGCCTCTATCTGTTACAAAATAAATTATGCTCTTGTTTCTAACACCTGAAGCTACCAGTATTTTCTATTAAAGCATTTTGACAATATTATTCCAAGAAAATTATCTTCCCTGTTTTCCATATGGTGAGGAAAATAACTCATACAGAGTCAAACTTCTTTCTTCCAAAAATCTGGGGGAAAAGCTCATAATGTCTGGCCCCTGAGTGTAGTTTCCAGTGGCAGAGCTTCTAGTCTTTGGGGATGTATCACATGTTGTCATTAAGGGACAGGGCTTCTACTGTAGTTTGGCAACCAGCTGCCCATATTCCTCTTTCTATATATAGCTCCTCCTTCCCTGTTTCCAGTCCAAATTATATTTGATATCGATCAGACCCACAACTCTCTCTCAAGTGCCTCTTGGGATATCCCAATATTATATCTCTTGAAATCATACTTTATGTTTGTGTCAGGGCTGAGAGTAGACAGATCTCTTACCTTTCTGTCTAGTATGTCTGCCAAAGAAACCAATTCATTTAGCACTTGGAGATAGATTTTTAACAGGTCTTATAGCTGCCACTGGAAGTTAATAATCTAGCCTTGTACCTCCAGTCTAGTGGTTTTCAAACTTGGGAGTACATCGGAGTTACCTGGAGGACTTGTTAAGAACCCATATTGCTGGGTCCCACCCCTAAAGTTTCTGATTCAGTAGATCTGGTGTGGGGGCCCAAGAATTAGCATTTCTAACCAGTACCCAGGTAATGCTGATACAGCTGATCGAGGGACCCATTTTGAGAACCACTTCTTTAGTTATATTTCCTCTAGTCTTTGGGCACCAAATGTTTCTCATAAACCAAATTTTATGAAGTAGTAAACCAAAGAAAGGACTCATAAGGATCTGGGAAATTTGTTTAGGTCAGAACAAAAAAAGATACTCATACTGTGTCCTTATCTCTTTCTCCGCTTGGCAATAGGATGGTTACAGGAGCCTTAGCACCTCTGTGCCTAGCAATTGGTCACTGTGAGCTCTGAGAGGCATTGTAGTTGGAAACACCTAAGGATATAATATTGTATAGATTCACCTAAAAGAAAGGATGATATGCTCATTTTGAGAGCATAAAATAGGAAAACAAAAATGTGACTTGTTAAATGTGATTGAATGGGGTTCTTATTTTAAAACTTGACTTCCTGACTTGATGATTTTTATATGAGCTTTGTCAGGGGCTCAGGGTCAAAGTTCACATTATTGTGTGTGTGTGTGTGTGTGTATGTATGTGCATGTATTAGGATCTCTTGGTTTCCCTGGACAGAAGGGAGAAAAAGGACATGCTGGTCTAACCGGTCCCAAAGGATTAACAGTAAGTTTTGAGTATATTATAGAACAACAACAACAAAAAAAAAAAACTAGAAGAAATCCATTTACACTTTGGTTTTCTCTTGTGGATATATATAATAAAAGAAATTTAGTTCTTCTATTAATTTGTGTTGTTTTTCATTCCTTGATTCTCCCTGACTCACATGCCTCACTTTGTTCTTAGCTTTGTACACTAAATGTTACTGGGTGGGTTGATATGATAAACTGGAGAGAGAAATGTGTTGGAAAAAAAAGAAACTGATTTTTTTCTCTTCTTTTTCCCTTCTTTCTTTTTCTTCCTTCAGGGCATACCAGGAGCTCCAGGTCCTCCAGGCTTTCCTGGATCTAAAGGTGAACCTGGTGACATCCTCACTTTTCCAGGAATGAAGGGTGACAAAGGAGAGTTGGGTTCCCCAGGAGCCCCTGGGCTTCCTGGTTTACCCGGTACCCCTGGACAGGATGGACTGCCAGGGCTTCCTGGCCCCAAAGGAGAACCTGTGAGTTGGTTTGATATTCTTGGTTCTGTGATGTCAAATTGTTACTTAGGGATATTTCCTAGGATGGGCCTGGTGCTATGATGAACACCCAATTAGTGCTTAAAGGACTGTAACTGTATGTAGTAATGGTACACTGTTATTGACTATGTAGGGGTTCTTTACCACTCTTTTCTCTCAGTTGTTTTATCTTCTTAACCCATTACTATATTGAGTAATATTGGCTGTGAATAGGTGGGCAGGAGGTTAAGATGCTTATGGGTCAGTGTGAGGTTCCCCTTCTCTTATACTACATATCTTTGTCTGGGTTTATTTGGACCTAAGAACAGAAGTCTAATTTGGTTTTATATATAGTAAGCTTAGAGGTTAGTGTAAGTAGATGGCCATGTGATAGCTAGACTACAAACTTCTTGATTTATTGCTAGTATATAAGCTTTATGAAGGCAGAGATTTTTGCCTATTTTTGTTCTTTGCTGTATCACTGGCCCCTGACACATAGTAGGAACTAAAAAATATTTGTTGAAGGAAGTAATGAATAAGTAGAATGATCACACATCCCATCCCGTAATAACATACGCTTATACAGCTTTTAAGAACTATTTATGGCTGTATCATTTCTTTAGTTGTATTCAGTAATACCAACATACCAACCTATATCTATATGTTTCTGTATTAAATTTTTCCCTTTTCAGGGTGGAATTGCTTTTAAGGGTGAAAGAGGTCTGCCTGGGAATCCAGGCTTGCCAGGTCTCCCAGGGAATAGAGGGCCAATGGGCCCTGTGGGTTTTGGCCCTCCAGGCCCAGTAGGTGAAAAAGGCATACAAGGTGTGGCAGGAAATCCAGGCCAGCCAGGAATACCAGGTGAGTTTACTATGGTTGTTTTGTTTTTAATTTGGCACTTAAAAGCAGAAATGTATTATCTTTTGGCCATTCTTGGCTTCCTTTCATGAAGGATGTTTCCCTGGCCATTTACATTTGGGCTTTTCAGAGCTCCTTAGCAAGGGAGCTCAGTGTATGTGTTTTCTCTAAAGGGGGGGAGGTTCCCTCTTTAAATTTCTTCTGTCTTCATTGTTATTGTTGTTTGTTGTTTTTAAGTACATGGTACATAAAGTTTAACAATTATAATGGAAACACACATGTACCTGCCACACATGTCAAAAAACAGAAGCTTGCCACCATCCTAGAAACCCCCATCTTCCTCTCTCTGTCCTTTTCTGACCATAATCCCCTTCCATTTCTTCAGAGGTAACCACTGTCCTGACTTTTGCATAATTTCCTTCCATTTGCCCCCTAGTTTTATCACCTAGATATGGATCCCTAAACAAAGTACTTTAATTATGCTTCTTTTTGAACTTCATAATAATGGAATCATAGGGTAAGTATTCTTTATATTAACTTTGTGTATAGCTATAGTACATTCATTTTCATTGCTGTATAGTATCCCATTGTGTGTGTGTGTGTGTCTGTGTGTGTGTGTGTGTGTGTGTGACGATTTATCCATTCTGTTGTTGATGGACAATTGGGTTATTTATAGTTCAGGTGTATTATGAACAATGCTTCTGTGTACATCCTTGTATCTATCTATCTATCTATCTATCTCCTGGTGTACATGTGCACATACTTCTCTGAGGCAAGGTCAGCAAACTATGGCACAGCATTCAAATCTGGCCCACTACTTGTCATAAATGAAACTTATTTGAATACATCTGCACCTATTCACTATTGTCTATGGTTGCTTTTGCACTCCTACACATAGACTCAACATTTTGCAGAATTGAGTAGTTGCTACTGAGACCATATGGCCCACAAAGCCTAAAGTATTTACTGTTCGGTCCTTTACAGAAAAACTTTGCCAATCCCTGGACTAGAGTATATATTTAAGATGAGCATTCCCAAAGCATAGGATAAATTCATCTTCAGCTTTACTAGATAATGTTCAAAGCAATTGTACCAATTTCATCAGCAGTATTAGAGAGTTCTTGTTGTTCTACATCCTCATAAACATTTTGTATTGCCAGACTTCTTACATTTTTGTCAGTTTGCTGAGTGTGATGTAGCTCATGACAGTTTTATTTTACATTCCCCTGATTACATTAAAGTTTAGCACCTTTTCATATGTTTATTGACTGTTTCAATTTCCATTTCTGAAATTTCCATTCAAGTGTTTTTTTGACCATTTTTCTACTGGATTGTTTCTTTTTATTACTGATTTAGGATTTTTTTAATATACATATTCTGTGTATTAGTTGTTTGTTATCTATTCTGCAAAATTTTCACTCACTATGGCTTGCCATTTTCACTCTATATGGTGTCTTTAATCAACAGAAATCAGTTTGAATGTAGTCAAATGTATCAATCTTTTCTCTCATGGTCAGTGCTTTTTATGTCAGGTTTTAGAGATCCACCTTTGTCCTGAGCCTATTTCAAGTCCTTATTTAATTAATGAGAAGTAGGTGTACTGGACTTTGCACACATAAAACCTTAAGGTACCATCAGTTAACCAAAATGAATATTTCTTGTTTACTGCAGTTTGAGTTTTGTTAGGCTCTTTTGACCTACATTTAAAAATATTTTTATAGATGCCATCTTCAATCCTGGAAGCTCTTTTTTTTAAAAAAAGATTTTATTTATTTGACAGAGAGAGCATAAGCAGGGAGGAGGGGCAGAGGGAGAAGCAGGCTCCCCACTGAGCCGGGAGCCCGATGTGGGGCTCAGTCCCAGGACCCTGGGATCATGACCCGAGCCGAAGGCAGACGCTTAACCAGCTGAGCTAACCCAGGCGCCCCAATCCTGGAAGCTCTTAAAACTGTCATCTACTTTTTCTTTTTGAAAGTTTATTCTTCTGTTTGGTTTATTCCTTGAATATATAATATGGGGTTATTTTTCTTGTGGGTTCTTGTTAGTGTGCATTTTCAAAAAATTATAGATACTTTCTTGTTTTGCTTTTAATTAAAGGAGATCTTTAGTCAAGTGAACACTTCTCATTCACTGTTTATTCCTTCTTGTTCTTAGGTCCTAAAGGTGATCCAGGTCAGACCATAACCCAGCCAGGGAAGCCTGGCCTGCCTGGTAATCCAGGCAGAGATGGTGAAGTAGGTCTTCCAGGTGTGTGAGGAATTTATTTGGCCATGTCTTTAACACTCACTGGCTTCTTTCTTTGAAAGTATCCCTTTGAAAAAACTGCTGTTTCTCCATAGGTGACCCTGGACTTCCCGGCCAGCCAGGCTTGCCAGGAATACCCGGTAGTAAAGGAGAACCAGGTGTCCCTGGAATTGGGCTTCCTGGACCACCTGGTCCCAAAGGTATGTAGGACTGAGCAGCAGGCAGGTTAATTTAACTAGTTAGTATAACATTATTCTTTGATGTAGTTCCCTCAACAAATAAAATAAGTTAACTGTGCTTCTTTTCTAGGTACCATAAATAATGTAAGTGAAAAGTCACAGCATGTATGCACTATAATTTTATTGCCTTTATCTAAAACAGTCCAGACAAGAAAATACCTAAATCATAGATATGCAAAAATGATATATAAGCTTTTAAAATTACAGAATTATTGTCTTTTGTGTTCACCATTGTATTTTCAGGGTTTAGAAAAGTTCCTGGCACATAGAAAGTACTCAGTAGATACTTGTTGAATGAGTGGATTGTACTAAGCAGAAAACATTTATTACACATATGTATCCAAGTAATGTTTTATCCTAAATCATATTCTCTTGATTTCCTGAAAGTTTTTAGGGCTGTTGCTTCAGTTCTGCTTTTTTTCTCACAGAATTTATTCTCATGAGTGGCAAGCATGCACATTGGTCTGAGAACAGTACTTAAACATGGCCTTACTCATTTATACTAAATGACTTCAAAAGAGTCAGATTTGACTTTATGTGTATATTTCTGTGTAATGTTTACAATTGTTTTCAGCTCACTTCCAGAATTATATGGTAGGCCTTGTATCTTACTATATCCAGATATAAGCAGAATAGAAGTTTTCTGCATGTTTGTGTGGGAGTCATTCCTTATGTTTAGTTCTGTCTCATTAGTAATAACTCATTTTCCTTTAGAAGAGTGTATCTTCCACACACATTAGCTCTATATGAAAATGGCAGGACCATAACATGAATGAAAGGGAATATCAGGTATTTGTAAGGCTTGATCCTGAGTAGTCATCTAGAATTTCAGTGTACTTTTCACATCTCACTGTAGTCACTAAGCATGATTGGACAGGGTAAAAATGTGGGTTTGGGAGTTTGGGTATCTTTCTTAAAGTGTCTTCTCTTTGGAGATTAAAAAATGACTAATCATTTCACAGGTTTTCCTGGAATTCCGGGACCTCCAGGAGCACCTGGAACACCTGGAAGAATTGGTCTAGAAGGCCCTTCTGGGCCACCAGGCTTTCCAGGACCGAAGGTCTGGGATATTTTAATTTATTCTTTCCCCTTTTCCTATTTCTATTAGCCCTAGCTCTCTGCTTTGATATAGACATTATTATCCCAAGTCTTCACTATATAAATAAAGTTAGCTGATTGTATTTTCTTTTTTTTTTAAAGATTTTATTTATTTATTTGACAGAGAGAGACACAGTGAGAGAGGGAACACAAGCAGGAGGAGTGGTAGAGGGAGAAGCAGGCTTCCCGCCGAGCAGGGAGCCCGATGTGGGGCTCGATCCCAGGACCCTGGGATCATGACCTGAGCCGAAGGCAGACGCTTAACGACTGAGCCACCCAGGCGCCCCAGCTGATTGTATTTTCACTTAAAAATATTTAACCTGGGCACCTGGGTGGCTCAGTTGTTTAAGTGTCCAATTCTTGATCTCAGCTCAGGTCTTGATCTCAGGTCATGTGTTTGAGCCCCATATTTAACCCAAAACAGTCTTTCATTGTCCAAGAGGTCATATTTGAAGCAAACAGAAAATTTCTGAAACTGTTTTAGAGTGAAAGGTTATCTGATGAGATGAGATTAGATGAGAAAATACAATCATCAGCTCCCCCTGTGCTTCTCTGTAGTATCAGCATACCATTTAACCTCTGTCCCTACCTGTGTGATGATTGTTTGAATAGCATGTCAGGAACTTCCCATACTGTTTCCCAGTCCCAATTCCATCCCACATACGTAATGTAAGCCACTGTTATTAGCTTAGTAATAATAGTAATATGATAATAATGATAATAATAAAAAATACTGTGTTTGAGTTACTTTCCATTCTTTTTATTATATCTTAGCTAATCTAAAATTTTCCTTAGTCAACCTTCAGGAAACTGCTGTGGTATATAATTATCCTGTTTCTGTATTTTCTCTGTACTTAATTAATTTAAACTTTTTGTGTTTTCATCATTGCTATTTCTTCCATGGGAAGAACAATTGACCATGACCCTAGCTCTCATGAGAAACTACTTCTCTATTGTCTAATTGTTCTTATTATGAACCTTTCAAATGAACACAAAAGTAAAAAGAATAATATAATGAAGTTTCACATATCCATTACTCATATTCCAGATGATTAAGATTTCATATTTACTTCATCTATTCCTTTTTTCCCTGCTGAAGTATTTTAACTCAAATCTCAAAATCATATTATTTCACCTATAAATACTTCAGTATTCATCTCTAAGTAAGTGGACATTTCATACAAAAACCACATTGTCATTATCACACTTAGTCAAATTTAAAATAATTATCTAATACTCAGTGTGTAATCACATTTAGTGAGCTGAAAACAATTGTTCTTAATCTTATTCTCTCTCAATTAATCTCTTTCTTGTCCTGAAACCAAATCCTTTAATTTGTTTCTCATCCTTCCAGATATTCTCTCCAGTATGTCAATTATTTTTCATTTAGTTATCCTATTCCCTCCCCCATAGGGAAAAAAAAGGTATTACCTTGTAATTTCTGCTTTAAATTCTCCATGGTAAACAGTAAACACCAAGAAAATCATGAGAGGTTTTGTTGTGTTTTCTCATGTGTGTGCTTAAGGGAGAACCAGGACTTGGGCTGCCTGGGCCACCTGGGCCCCCAGGACTCCCAGGTTTCAAAGGAACACTTGGTCCAAAAGGGGATCGTGGTTTCCCAGGACCTCCAGGTCTTCCAGGACATGCTGGCTTGGATGGGCTCCCTGGACCAAAAGGTATAGAAATTACTGCTACTTCTCAATTTGCTTTTAACTTTTATAGAAATTGAAACTGTTGGGAAAATTTATGGGTGATAGGTCCAATTAACTGAAAGCCTATGGTCCCACTCGGTCACTGCTTTTTTTTTTTTTTTTTAATTTTCCATTTATGTTTTTGTGTTTTATTTCATTGAATAGATGATTCAATCATATATGTATAAAAGTAGCACTGAGAAGTCTTCCTTTTACCCCCTCTCCATCCACTCTGTTTTCCCCATCCCATATGTAGCCAATTTTTGAGTTATTTGTCCTTCTAGTGTTCCTTCATACAAATACAAGCCAATAAGAATATATATTTGTATTTCCTAACTTTCTGAAAAGATAGAGTACTACCTTTTGACTTTTTGCACATTAGATCACCTTATGTCAGTACATCAAAATCTTGCTTTTTAAAAAATAGCTACCTAGTATTAAATTGCTTGGGTTTATCATAGCTTATTCTACCAGTTGCTAGTCACTAGATTGGATTTCTTAAAATCTTTTCTTATTAGAAATAATGTCACAGTGAATTGTCTTGCATGCATGTTATTTCATATGTGTACAGGTGTAATAGTAGAATAGAGTAATGAAAACAGATTTTCTGAATTAAAGGCTAAATGCATCTCTAGATATTGTCAGATTCCTCTCCATTTGCACCATACACCCCTACCAGCAATGAATGAGTGTATTTGTTTCTCCACAGCCTTCTAAGTGAGTATGTTGACAAACTCTTGAATTTTTTCCAGTCTGATAGAGGTAGTTATCAGTATAGTTTTTAAACATTTTATTATGAAGATTTTCAAACGCATAGAAAATTAAAAACTGTGCAGTGAAAACTCCTATATCGACCATCAAGATTCCACAGTTAACATTTTATCTCTGCCAACATTTTATTTTTTTAAATTTCATATAAACAGCAAAGTAGAAAGAATTTTCAGTGACTACTATATACCCATTATTGATATTCTATTATCAACATTTTACTATACATGATTTGTCACATATCAATTCATCCCTTTCTTTAAAAAAATTGACTTATTTTTTGATGCATTCACAGTAAATTGTAATAGCAGTACACCTCTCCCTAAATACTTTAGCATGTATATTATAATTCTATGCTTGGTTTTTTTCCTTTTGACATAAAATTCACATTAAGTGAGATGCACATATCTTACAGAGACATTTGCTGGATTTTGACAAATGCATGCACTTGTGTAACTAAACCCCTATCAAGATATAATCTCAGAAATTTCCCTTTTGCCCCTTTTCTCAGTCCCTACAGCAATATCCACAGTGACAACTGTACAGTTATGATTTTTCCTTGTAAATTAATTCTGCCTGTTCTAAAACTCCATATGGAATCACACAGTGGGTACATTCTTTGTAAGGCTTCTTTCACTCAGGATATTGTTCTTGAGGTTCATTCATGTTGTGTTTATTAAGAGTTTTTATTTTTTATTATTGAGTATTTCATTGTATAAATATACCAGAGTTTGTTTATCCATTCTCTGTTGATGGACACCTGGACTATGTTAAGTTTTTGGCTATTATGAGTGAAGCTGTTAAGGACATTCTTTTACAAATCTTTTTGTAGATATGTGCTTTCATTTTGCTTGGTTAAATACCTAAGAGTAGAATTGTTGGGTCATAAGGTAGGTATATGTTAGTTATATGAGAAACTACTGGAGCTTTTTCCAAAATGGTTGTACCATTTTAAACTCACACCAATATGGTATGAAAGTTTCAGTTGTTCCACATTCTCTCCAACATTCGGTATTAATCAGTCTTTTCATTTTTGAGTTTTGGTAGGTGTGTTGGTAACATATCTTGGTCTTAGTTTTCATTTCCCTGATGACTAATGATGTTGAGCTCTTTTACTTGTACTGGTGGATTATTTACACATTTGAATATTTTTCCCATTTTAAAATATGGGTTGTTTCTGTTTTAATTGTTAAGTTGGAAGTGATCTTTATATATTCTGTGTACTGATCTTTTGTGAAATATATGTTTATGAGTATTTTATCCCTATCTGGTTTGCCTATTCATTTTTATCAGTGTATTTCAATGAATAAAAGTTTTAGTCATTGATGTTTCATTTATCTGTTCTTTATATAATTATTATTTTCTGTTTTGTCTAAGAAACCTTTCCCAAAGTTGCAAAGATATTTTGTTTTATTTTATAAATTTTATGATTTTAGCATTTATGTTTAAGACTATCATCCATCTCAGATAATTTTATTAAACATTATTTCTTCAAAATAGTTCCCTCCCCATTGGATTACTTTGGCATCTGTGTCAAAAATCAGATGGCTATATATGTGTAGGTCTATTTTGTGTTGTCAATTCTACTTATCTATTATTTACTTATCTATTTTACTATCCTTAAGGCAGTACCAACTATTTATATTACTGTAGCTTTATAATAAGACTTGATGTCAGGTAATGTAAGTCCTCCAAGTTTGTTCTTTTTAAAAAATTTCTTTGGATATACTATATCCTTTGCCTTTATTCTCAGGATGGTTTAAATTTGTATTTCCATTAATATGAATAAAATTGTACATCTTTTCATATGCTTAAGGGACATATTTTTCCTGTGAACTGCTCATGTCCTTTGCTCATTTCTCCATTGATTTCTTCTGCCCCCTTAATTCTGATTCCCCTAATTATAAAAAGGAATAGAATTAGCCTAGCTGGTTTGGCAATTGTTTTTTTCCTTACTGGTTTGCAAGGAATGGGACTCTCCTGGTCAGTATTTTGACCCCCAGAGAATAATCTGAACAGCTCTGTACTCCTAAAGCATGTTGGATTGATTCCCATTAAAGCCATATGACATCATAGCCCAATTTAGCCAGCCTAGATTCAGCCAGCAAAAGCCCCAAACTAGCCCAATACAAATTCTTCTTAGATAAGCTCTTTTAAAAATACCTGTTTTCAAGTAAACAGTTCTGGCCAGCTGTAAACTGTAACACTCAAAGTTATCGTTGTGTTTCCCACCAATTATCTACCCCAGTTTAGACATGTGACCCCAAAATTGCAGATAGAGACATTCCAAATGATAAGCTATGTGTCAAACAGTCTCCATATGGAAATTGCTCATTCATGATACTTTGTTTATTAAAATGTCCGTGAGATGGGTTAAGAAGAAATGGATTGAAGCCTATTTTATTTTCTTAAAGATTTTATTCATTTATTTGCCAGAGAGAGAGAGACAGAGAATAAGAAGGGGGAGCAGCCGGCAGAGGGAGAAGCAGGTTCCCTGCAGAGCCGGGGGAGCCCGATGTGGGTGGGACTCGATCCCAGGACCCTGGGATCACAACCTGAGCCGAAGGCAGACGCTTAACTGACTGAGCTACCCAGGCATCCCTGAAGCCTAATTTAAACATCAATGTCTTAATAGACATTTATTTTCCTAATCTTTGAAAGGAAGTATAAGATCCTCATATCCTAATAAGAATCATTCTCAAATATTAAAGCCCCAGCACAGTTCCTAAGGTGGTAGAAGAAAAAGAATTTGGGATATCCTGCCATGTAATTCCTTCATTCCTCAAACATTATGTTCTTATTCTGTACCAGGTCCTGCTTGAGTCACTAAGAATACAAAGGCATAGAGTCTGTTCTCTGACTACTGTAAGAAAATCTAGGTGGTATCACTATGATAGTGGTTATTTCATCTGGAACTTTTATGAAAATGTATCACTAATGTTTTGGGTCACTAAACCACAGTCAGAACTCAGTAAGCAGCTCACAATAAAAGTTCACCTAGCAGACACATTTATACCAGTGGCTGGGCATTAGAACCTAGTAATCTTTCCTAATAGGAGAGATTGATAGAGCACTTTCAAAGCAAAATAGTGACCAATAATAAATTAAATAGGCTAATACCCATCAGGAAAGAACGATATGAGGATGAAAATGTGCTTAAGACTCAACAGTGGAATCACATTAAACAAAAAAGAAAAAAAAAGATGACTTTGGAAACATTCAGTTTGTCTCATATGTTACTTTTGTTCAGGGCCTCATCTAAGGTACCTTGGGAGACTTCATAAAGGAGGTGAGGCTTGAGCTGTATCCTTATAGAAGGATGTTCCAGGTAGCAGGAATAACATGCAAAAGTATTGTGACACATAGAATGGCACAGAAGTGGAAATATTGAAAGAAATAAAAATTATAATTTGCAAAAAAATTCTATATCTAAAAATTAATAAAATATGCCTAATGTATTTGTGGAAAAAATTAAAACTCCATTATTAACAACTTGAAAAAAGGTAAAGTTAATTGGTTGATAAATCATATGTATGCATGGGAAAGCTGAATGATGTCAGCTCCTTCCAAATTTGCCTAAATATAATGCATTTTCAGTGAGAATTGAAGTAGGAGTTTTTTGGAAGCACTTGACATAATTGATTCTGAAACTTAACATTTACCAAACATATACTAAAATATATTTCAGTATCTTTGTAATTACAGCATTGTGAACCAGTGCTGGAACAGACAAATAGACCAATATGACAGAGTTAAGAAACATGTATATACAGAACACACACACACACACACACATATATATATATATAAAATATATATATAAATACTTGGCTACCTTCATTGTTTATTATCCCTTTCCACTGATAGAATGGGAACACCATGAAGGCATGGATTTTTGCCTGTTTTATTTGTTTTGCCTGTTTTGTTTTGTCTGTTTTGTTTACCACTATATCATAGATACCTGGAACCAGTACTTGGCAAATAATGAGCACTTGGCAAATATTTATCAAATGAGCTGATTCTAATATAGGCGTCTCTAAACTATACTGTTGGGTAGGAATGTTGTCCCTTGGTGCTAACTTCTTTAGAACTTATCTAAAGGACATAGACATACCCCTTTGAGTAAAATTTGTTTCTCAATATGCTTTTCTCTAGGTGACAAAGGTGACACCTGCTTCAACTGTATTGGAACTGGTGTTTCAGGGCCTCCAGGTCAGCCTGGTCTGCCAGGTCTTCCAGGTCCTCCAGGTAAAACATTCTGCCTCAGGCAACCTTGTAACAATATTTCTTGGCTAGATTTTAGTGAGCTCAGTTTTATAATGATGCCAGTTTCTCATTTTATAGCAAGTCTCTCATATCCATAAATAATTAAATATGAAATGCCTCTATCTGTTACAAAATAAATTATGCTCTTGTTTCTAACACCTGAAGCTACCAGTATTTTCTATTAAAGCATTTTGACAATATTATTCCAAGAAAATTATCTTCCCTGTTTTCCATATGGTGAGGAAAATAACTCATACAGAGTCAAACTTCTTTCTTCCAAAAATCTGGGGGAAAAGCTCATAATGTCTGGCCCCTGAGTGTAGTTTCCAGTGGCAGAGCTTCTAGTCTTTGGGGATGTATCACATGTTGTCATTAAGGGACAGGGCTTCTACTGTAGTTTGGCAACCAGCTGCCCATATTCCTCTTTCTATATATAGCTCCTCCTTCCCTGTTTCCAGTCCAAATTATATTTGATATCGATCAGACCCACAACTCTCTCTCAAGTGCCTCTTGGGATATCCCAATATTATATCTCTTGAAATCATACTTTATGTTTGTGTCAGGGCTGAGAGTAGACAGATCTCTTACCTTTCTGTCTAGTATGTCTGCCAAAGAAACCAATTCATTTAGCACTTGGAGATAGATTTTTAACAGGTCTTATAGCTGCCACTGGAAGTTAATAATCTAGCCTTGTACCTCCAGTCTAGTGGTTTTCAAACTTGGGAGTACATCGGAGTTACCTGGAGGACTTGTTAAGAACCCATATTGCTGGGTCCCACCCCTAAAGTTTCTGATTCAGTAGATCTGGTGTGGGGGCCCAAGAATTAGCATTTCTAACCAGTACCCAGGTAATGCTGATACAGCTGATCGAGGGACCCATTTTGAGAACCACTTCTTTAGTTATATTTCCTCTAGTCTTTGGGCACCAAATGTTTCTCATAAACCAAATTTTATGAAGTAGTAAACCAAAGAAAGGACTCATAAGGATCTGGGAAATTTGTTTAGGTCAGAACAAAAAAAGATACTCATACTGTGTCCTTATCTCTTTCTCCGCTTGGCAATAGGATGGTTACAGGAGCCTTAGCACCTCTGTGCCTAGCAATTGGTCACTGTGAGCTCTGAGAGGCATTGTAGTTGGAAACACCTAAGGATATAATATTGTATAGATTCACCTAAAAGAAAGGATGATATGCTCATTTTGAGAGCATAAAATAGGAAAACAAAAATGTGACTTGTTAAATGTGATTGAATGGGGTTCTTATTTTAAAACTTGACTTCCTGACTTGATGATTTTTATATGAGCTTTGTCAGGGGCTCAGGGTCAAAGTTCACATTATTGTGTGTGTGTGTGTGTGTGTATGTATGTGCATGTATTAGGATCTCTTGGTTTCCCTGGACAGAAGGGAGAAAAAGGACATGCTGGTCTAACCGGTCCCAAAGGATTAACAGTAAGTTTTGAGTATATTATAGAACAACAACAACAAAAAAAAAAAACTAGAAGAAATCCATTTACACTTTGGTTTTCTCTTGTGGATATATATAATAAAAGAAATTTAGTTCTTCTATTAATTTGTGTTGTTTTTCATTCCTTGATTCTCCCTGACTCACATGCCTCACTTTGTTCTTAGCTTTGTACACTAAATGTTACTGGGTGGGTTGATATGATAAACTGGAGAGAGAAATGTGTTGGAAAAAAAAGAAACTGATTTTTTTCTCTTCTTTTTCCCTTCTTTCTTTTTCTTCCTTCAGGGCATACCAGGAGCTCCAGGTCCTCCAGGCTTTCCTGGATCTAAAGGTGAACCTGGTGACATCCTCACTTTTCCAGGAATGAAGGGTGACAAAGGAGAGTTGGGTTCCCCAGGAGCCCCTGGGCTTCCTGGTTTACCCGGTACCCCTGGACAGGATGGACTGCCAGGGCTTCCTGGCCCCAAAGGAGAACCTGTGAGTTGGTTTGATATTCTTGGTTCTGTGATGTCAAATTGTTACTTAGGGATATTTCCTAGGATGGGCCTGGTGCTATGATGAACACCCAATTAGTGCTTAAAGGACTGTAACTGTATGTAGTAATGGTACACTGTTATTGACTATGTAGGGGTTCTTTACCACTCTTTTCTCTCAGTTGTTTTATCTTCTTAACCCATTACTATATTGAGTAATATTGGCTGTGAATAGGTGGGCAGGAGGTTAAGATGCTTATGGGTCAGTGTGAGGTTCCCCTTCTCTTATACTACATATCTTTGTCTGGGTTTATTTGGACCTAAGAACAGAAGTCTAATTTGGTTTTATATATAGTAAGCTTAGAGGTTAGTGTAAGTAGATGGCCATGTGATAGCTAGACTACAAACTTCTTGATTTATTGCTAGTATATAAGCTTTATGAAGGCAGAGATTTTTGCCTATTTTTGTTCTTTGCTGTATCACTGGCCCCTGACACATAGTAGGAACTAAAAAATATTTGTTGAAGGAAGTAATGAATAAGTAGAATGATCACACATCCCATCCCGTAATAACATACGCTTATACAGCTTTTAAGAACTATTTATGGCTGTATCATTTCTTTAGTTGTATTCAGTAATACCAACATACCAACCTATATCTATATGTTTCTGTATTAAATTTTTCCCTTTTCAGGGTGGAATTGCTTTTAAGGGTGAAAGAGGTCTGCCTGGGAATCCAGGCTTGCCAGGTCTCCCAGGGAATAGAGGGCCAATGGGCCCTGTGGGTTTTGGCCCTCCAGGCCCAGTAGGTGAAAAAGGCATACAAGGTGTGGCAGGAAATCCAGGCCAGCCAGGAATACCAGGTGAGTTTACTATGGTTGTTTTGTTTTTAATTTGGCACTTAAAAGCAGAAATGTATTATCTTTTGGCCATTCTTGGCTTCCTTTCATGAAGGATGTTTCCCTGGCCATTTACATTTGGGCTTTTCAGAGCTCCTTAGCAAGGGAGCTCAGTGTATGTGTTTTCTCTAAAGGGGGGGAGGTTCCCTCTTTAAATTTCTTCTGTCTTCATTGTTATTGTTGTTTGTTGTTTTTAAGTACATGGTACATAAAGTTTAACAATTATAATGGAAACACACATGTACCTGCCACACATGTCAAAAAACAGAAGCTTGCCACCATCCTAGAAACCCCCATCTTCCTCTCTCTGTCCTTTTCTGACCATAATCCCCTTCCATTTCTTCAGAGGTAACCACTGTCCTGACTTTTGCATAATTTCCTTCCATTTGCCCCCTAGTTTTATCACCTAGATATGGATCCCTAAACAAAGTACTTTAATTATGCTTCTTTTTGAACTTCATAATAATGGAATCATAGGGTAAGTATTCTTTATATTAACTTTGTGTATAGCTATAGTACATTCATTTTCATTGCTGTATAGTATCCCATTGTGTGTGTGTGTGTGTCTGTGTGTGTGTGTGTGTGTGTGTGACGATTTATCCATTCTGTTGTTGATGGACAATTGGGTTATTTATAGTTCAGGTGTATTATGAACAATGCTTCTGTGTACATCCTTGTATCTATCTATCTATCTATCTATCTCCTGGTGTACATGTGCACATACTTCTCTGAGGCAAGGTCAGCAAACTATGGCACAGCATTCAAATCTGGCCCACTACTTGTCATAAATGAAACTTATTTGAATACATCTGCACCTATTCACTATTGTCTATGGTTGCTTTTGCACTCCTACACATAGACTCAACATTTTGCAGAATTGAGTAGTTGCTACTGAGACCATATGGCCCACAAAGCCTAAAGTATTTACTGTTCGGTCCTTTACAGAAAAACTTTGCCAATCCCTGGACTAGAGTATATATTTAAGATGAGCATTCCCAAAGCATAGGATAAATTCATCTTCAGCTTTACTAGATAATGTTCAAAGCAATTGTACCAATTTCATCAGCAGTATTAGAGAGTTCTTGTTGTTCTACATCCTCATAAACATTTTGTATTGCCAGACTTCTTACATTTTTGTCAGTTTGCTGAGTGTGATGTAGCTCATGACAGTTTTATTTTACATTCCCCTGATTACATTAAAGTTTAGCACCTTTTCATATGTTTATTGACTGTTTCAATTTCCATTTCTGAAATTTCCATTCAAGTGTTTTTTTGACCATTTTTCTACTGGATTGTTTCTTTTTATTACTGATTTAGGATTTTTTTAATATACATATTCTGTGTATTAGTTGTTTGTTATCTATTCTGCAAAATTTTCACTCACTATGGCTTGCCATTTTCACTCTATATGGTGTCTTTAATCAACAGAAATCAGTTTGAATGTAGTCAAATGTATCAATCTTTTCTCTCATGGTCAGTGCTTTTTATGTCAGGTTTTAGAGATCCACCTTTGTCCTGAGCCTATTTCAAGTCCTTATTTAATTAATGAGAAGTAGGTGTACTGGACTTTGCACACATAAAACCTTAAGGTACCATCAGTTAACCAAAATGAATATTTCTTGTTTACTGCAGTTTGAGTTTTGTTAGGCTCTTTTGACCTACATTTAAAAATATTTTTATAGATGCCATCTTCAATCCTGGAAGCTCTTTTTTTTAAAAAAAGATTTTATTTATTTGACAGAGAGAGCATAAGCAGGGAGGAGGGGCAGAGGGAGAAGCAGGCTCCCCACTGAGCCGGGAGCCCGATGTGGGGCTCAGTCCCAGGACCCTGGGATCATGACCCGAGCCGAAGGCAGACGCTTAACCAGCTGAGCTAACCCAGGCGCCCCAATCCTGGAAGCTCTTAAAACTGTCATCTACTTTTTCTTTTTGAAAGTTTATTCTTCTGTTTGGTTTATTCCTTGAATATATAATATGGGGTTATTTTTCTTGTGGGTTCTTGTTAGTGTGCATTTTCAAAAAATTATAGATACTTTCTTGTTTTGCTTTTAATTAAAGGAGATCTTTAGTCAAGTGAACACTTCTCATTCACTGTTTATTCCTTCTTGTTCTTAGGTCCTAAAGGTGATCCAGGTCAGACCATAACCCAGCCAGGGAAGCCTGGCCTGCCTGGTAATCCAGGCAGAGATGGTGAAGTAGGTCTTCCAGGTGTGTGAGGAATTTATTTGGCCATGTCTTTAACACTCACTGGCTTCTTTCTTTGAAAGTATCCCTTTGAAAAAACTGCTGTTTCTCCATAGGTGACCCTGGACTTCCCGGCCAGCCAGGCTTGCCAGGAATACCCGGTAGTAAAGGAGAACCAGGTGTCCCTGGAATTGGGCTTCCTGGACCACCTGGTCCCAAAGGTATGTAGGACTGAGCAGCAGGCAGGTTAATTTAACTAGTTAGTATAACATTATTCTTTGATGTAGTTCCCTCAACAAATAAAATAAGTTAACTGTGCTTCTTTTCTAGGTACCATAAATAATGTAAGTGAAAAGTCACAGCATGTATGCACTATAATTTTATTGCCTTTATCTAAAACAGTCCAGACAAGAAAATACCTAAATCATAGATATGCAAAAATGATATATAAGCTTTTAAAATTACAGAATTATTGTCTTTTGTGTTCACCATTGTATTTTCAGGGTTTAGAAAAGTTCCTGGCACATAGAAAGTACTCAGTAGATACTTGTTGAATGAGTGGATTGTACTAAGCAGAAAACATTTATTACACATATGTATCCAAGTAATGTTTTATCCTAAATCATATTCTCTTGATTTCCTGAAAGTTTTTAGGGCTGTTGCTTCAGTTCTGCTTTTTTTCTCACAGAATTTATTCTCATGAGTGGCAAGCATGCACATTGGTCTGAGAACAGTACTTAAACATGGCCTTACTCATTTATACTAAATGACTTCAAAAGAGTCAGATTTGACTTTATGTGTATATTTCTGTGTAATGTTTACAATTGTTTTCAGCTCACTTCCAGAATTATATGGTAGGCCTTGTATCTTACTATATCCAGATATAAGCAGAATAGAAGTTTTCTGCATGTTTGTGTGGGAGTCATTCCTTATGTTTAGTTCTGTCTCATTAGTAATAACTCATTTTCCTTTAGAAGAGTGTATCTTCCACACACATTAGCTCTATATGAAAATGGCAGGACCATAACATGAATGAAAGGGAATATCAGGTATTTGTAAGGCTTGATCCTGAGTAGTCATCTAGAATTTCAGTGTACTTTTCACATCTCACTGTAGTCACTAAGCATGATTGGACAGGGTAAAAATGTGGGTTTGGGAGTTTGGGTATCTTTCTTAAAGTGTCTTCTCTTTGGAGATTAAAAAATGACTAATCATTTCACAGGTTTTCCTGGAATTCCGGGACCTCCAGGAGCACCTGGAACACCTGGAAGAATTGGTCTAGAAGGCCCTTCTGGGCCACCAGGCTTTCCAGGACCGAAGGTCTGGGATATTTTAATTTATTCTTTCCCCTTTTCCTATTTCTATTAGCCCTAGCTCTCTGCTTTGATATAGACATTATTATCCCAAGTCTTCACTATATAAATAAAGTTAGCTGATTGTATTTTCTTTTTTTTTTAAAGATTTTATTTATTTATTTGACAGAGAGAGACACAGTGAGAGAGGGAACACAAGCAGG